GGAAATCAGGAATCATTTCAGACATAAAAGTTTTTTTTTCAGGGCAGAAGACTCAATGTCAAAGACACACAAACCAGCCAGGTCCAGCTGCTTACAAATTGCAGGCTCTAACTATGCTACTCCTAACACTGGAGCTCACCTCATCTATTCTCTAGCCTGCAGGCCAGGCTGGGCCTCAAGTCCCTTCCTTCTAGGTAAACATCTTTGATGATAGGTACCTCTGTGAGAACAAAAGGAGAATCACAGTGTAAGGATTCTGTCCTTAATTACATCACCATCCTCTGCCGGTGTCCCAGCCTAAAAAGCGGGTGGGCCCTCTGTGATCCCCTTCTCTTTTGCTCTCTCCTTCTGTCTGTCCTCTTTCTCTCTCCCCCCTCCCAATAAAGCTCTAAAGAGGTAACTATGGCTTGTGATTCTTCCGATCAGCACTCTCCTCTGCCAGCATGGCCGCGGCCACCCATGAGCAGCTCTGATTTAACCAACACAGAGAGGCACTGTACTCTCGCCTCCCTTCAGACTCTGTGGGCCTCTGCCACCTAAGGTTAGGGGTTTCAGGAAGGAGCTATCTCCAGCCACAAGCACCACCACTTAACCAACAGATGGGACACAGACCACCACCAAAAACAACCCCACCCTTCCACCCACCCCGGCTGGATCTTAGATGTGTTTCTGGAAAATCAAGTTCTTTTCAGAGTGGAAAATCCACTGCGGGTTAAAGTCATACCTAGACATGCAAGGCATCCAGTGAGTTGGTTTCCTTTCCCCCTTCTTCTCCCCTCCTGAAAAATCTACGCTGGTTGAAGACACACCCAGTGGTGCAAGGCAGCCAATGGGATAGATTTTGTTTCTTCCTGTTCTCTCTGGTCCTGGAAACACAAAACAAAACAAAACAAAAAAACACTCTGGTTGAAGACACACCCAGTGGTGCAAGGCAGCCAATGGGATAGATTTTGTTTCTTCCTGTTCTCTCTGGTCCTGGAAACACAAAACAAAACAAAACAAAAAAACACTCTGGTTGAAGACACACCCAGTCATGGAAGGCAGCCAATGAGAGAGGTTTTGTTTCATCTGCTCTCTCAGGATCTTTCTGGCTTGGAAACAATGTCCTGTTATTCTATAATTCAGTCTTTCTGAGTGTCACTGTGTTTGCAATGTTTTGTAACATGTTACTTCTTTGCCAGGGTTGATTTCCCCCCCACCCCCACCCATGACAGTGGTGCAGTATAAACTTGAAGTAATAAAATTGATGCTCTGAAGATGTACTAATAATCTTGCTTAGGAAATATTAAGTTACACTAAGTGGAATTTAAGTAAAGAAGTGTTGCTTCCAATATGACTAGAAGGTATGTGGTATATAACCAGTTTTGGTGTAGAGTGTGGAAAAGGAAAGTTTGTACCATAGTTGAAGTTTAGGGTTGCTGAGAAAGTTTCTGCTATTGTTCACCAAGATTGATACCCCTCCCCCAATTAGTCTCCATTCCCATAACAACAGGAGACAACCCTGACTCACAATCAGCCATTAGTTCCATCCTCACATCAAAGATCATGCCTCTAAAGGGCAGCTCCAGGGGGCATTGCAAGGTCACAACTAGCATTGAGTCCTGCTCTGCCATCAAGTCCCCTGACCTCTTACCAGGAGAGGCTTAATTGTGCAGGTGGGGAAGATGGACTTGGGTAGCAAACATTCGAAAAGAACAACACTGGTGTACTTAAGCAATTCTGACAATATCTTTGCTGCATAAACCTCCCTTCTGCTCAAGTGCCCAGACAGGCAGTTTACTGTCTCAGTTTAAATTGTTCCAAGTGTGCACTGGGGCTGGGACTGAAAGAGATTTAAGGATGACAGCATGTGTGGACTGCTAAACCTACAGTGTAAAGAAGTTAGTAAAATCCTCTATTCGTGGCCAGATACTCTTTGTGCATTAGCTACAGCTTATCATCATCATCATCATCATCATCATCATCATCATCATCAACCACTCTTCTGGCCTCCATGGGCGCCAGATACACTGGTAATGTACAGGTATACATATAGCCAAGTCACTTCTACATATAAAATAAATAAATGAGTTTTTAAAATGTCAACCTGCTGCCTTCTCATAATTTTATATCTATCTCTAAATAAAAGGTGGCTTAAAGATTCAAATCCTGTCCCTATTCAGTGGCTTTTGTAGTGACAGTTATATGAAAATCTGACATTTTGGTTTCAAGATTGTCTTTCTCTCTTTCTTCCTAATGCTGGGGATTGAACCCAGAACCCTGTGCAAGTAAGGTAAAAAAAATCTACTACTAAGCCACACTCACCATAACCCTTGGCTTTTTGATAGAGAGCCTTGACATTCAAGCCAGATTGCCCCTGAACTCTGCATTTTCAGGCTACACAGTGATAGGTTGTGAGGTGTCCAATAGCTTCCAACAGCCAAAAACCAAATATAATAGCCAGGTACTGTGATTATACACCTTTAATCTCAGCTTTCAGGAGGTTGATGCAGGTGGAGCTCTGTGAGTTAGAGGCCAGCCTAGACTGCATAGTGAGTTCCAGGACCACCAGGGCTATGTAGAGAGACCCTGTCCCAAAAACAAAACCAACCAAGTAAACAAATAACAAATATTCTAGTGATTAGCCAACTTATTTTATTAAAAAGAATCATGTAGACCGCGGCTGAAGATAGAATGCTTGCCTACTGTACAGAGAGCCTTAGATTTGATCCCCAGCATGGAATAAACCAGGCACGGTGATATATGCTTATAATCCCACACCATCAAAGTGGACTCAGAAGGTTCAAGATCATCCTCAGTGTCATACTTATTTTGAGTCTTGCCTTGGCAAAATTCATTTATTCTATCAATTTTTACAACATTTCTGATTTTTGACATTCCCCTTGTGAGAGCTAAAGTTAAGTTTAAATTACAGTGCTTAAGAGATATACAAAACACAAACACCTCTTACTTGTAAGCCCTACTTGCCCAAGGACAGATAAACCATACCCCCCCCCCCCTTTGTCTAAGGATAGAAAACTGACTGGAATGCTGCGGTTTGTTGACGTGTAAGATAAAAGTCCTTTGTTTTCAATTCAGGAAACAAGGTCGGTTGCCCCAACTGCACAGGATGTGCTTGAGCACAATAGGAAGGAGATACAAAGGCAGGAAGTACAGCTGTACACTTGCCCTTGATTTGACAATAGTGAAAAGGATGTAGACTCGTGCATTTTTGCCTTTAGAAAATTCAGAACCATTCTTTGGGAATCCCAGGTACGGACCTAGCCAGTGTGCACCATCCTGGCCAGGACTGAATAAAGCTTGCTTCAAATTTGGCTCAAAATTGTGGTAGAGGTCTTATTCTCCCTAGTGGGATTAACACCCTCCCAGAAAATATTTAATATAATTGGTCAGTAAAATTCTGAAGTATTGTCTCTTTTGAAGATTCTGTTGTTATAGCAATAATGCATCTTCCCAGTGAGAAATCACTCCACATATGTGGAGATTAGTAAGGAAAAGGTGGGAGGAGACTGGTCTCAATGGTTAAGAGTACTTCTGTTGTAGCCTAGGTCCTGGGTTTGACTCCCAGCACCAACATGGAGGCTCAGCACTTACTCAGGCACCAAACACACAGATATACAGGTTGGCAAAACACACATACACATAAAATAGTAAAAATAAATCTAAAACATTTTAAAGGAAAAGGCTTAATAGTAATAAATAAGTAAATACATAAATACATAAAAACACAAATAATAGATAAGCTCTGATAAAATTCACAAAGAGTATCTGGCCACGAATAGAGGATTTTACTAACTTCTTTACACTGTAGGTTTAGCAGTCCACACATGCTGTCATCCTTAAATCTCTTTCAGTCCCAGCCCCAGTGCACACTTGGAACAATTTAAACTGAGACAGTAAACTGCCTGTCTGGGCACTTGAGCAGAAGGGAGGTTTATGCAGCAAAGATATTGTCCGAATTGCTTAAGTACACCAGTGTTGTTCTTTTCGAATGTTTGCTACCCAAGTCCATCTTCCCCACCTGCACAATTAAGCCTCTCCTGGTAAGAGGTCAGGGGACTTGATGGCAGAGCAGGACTCAATGCTAGTTGTGACCTTGCAATGCCCCCTGGAGCTGCCCTTTAGAGGCATGATCTTTGATGTGAGGATGGAACTAATGGCTGATTGTGAGTCAGGGTTGTCTCCTGTTGTTATGGGAATGGAGACTAATTGGGGGAGGGGTATCAGTCTTGGTGAACAATAGCAGAAACTTTCTCAGCAACCCTAAACTTCAACTATGGTACAAACTTTCCTTTTCCACACTCTACACCAAAACTGGTTATATACCACATACCTTCTAGTCATATTGGAAGCAACACGTCTTTACTTAAATTCCACTTAGTATAACTTAATATTTCCTAAGCAAGATTATTAGTACATCTTCAGAGCATCAATTTTATTACTTCAAGTTTATACTGCATCACTGTCATGGGTGGGGGTGGGAGGGAAATCAACCCTGGCAAAGAAGTAACATGTTACAAAACATTGCAAACACAGTGACACTCAGAAAGACTGAATTATAGAATAATAGGACATTGTTTCCAAGCCAGAAAGATCCTGAGAGAGCAGATGAAACAAAACCTCTCTCATTGGCTGCCTTCCATGACTGGGTGTGTCTTCAACTAGAGTGTTTTTTTCAGGACCAGAGAAAACAGGGAAATCGAAACCTATCTCATTGGTTGCCTTGGATCACTGGGTGTGTCTTCAAAAACAATGGATATTTCAGGCATGGATAGAGGAGGGGAAAATGAAACTTATTTCATTGGCTGCCTTTAGTAACAGAGTATGTCTACAAACAGTGGATTTTCCACTCTGAAAAGAACTTGATTTTCCAGAAACACATCCAAGATCCAGCGGGGTGGATGGAAGGGTGGGGTTGTTGTTGGTGGTGGTGGGTGTCATTTCAGCTCCTTCCTGAAGCCCCTAGCCTTGGTGGCAGAAGCCCTTAAAGGCTGAGAGGAGGCCAGTGTACAGTAGCTCTCTGAGCCTTCTTTTGTTCTCAGAAAGGCACCATCAAGAGTGTGTACATAAAAGGAAGGGACCCAAGGCCTGGACTGCCCCAGAAAGCTAGAGGGTAGGTGAAGTGAGCTCCAGTGTTAGGAGCAGCATAGTTAGAGCCTGCAATTTGTAAGCAGCTGGACCTGGCTGGCTTGTGTGTCTTTGACATTGAGTCTTCTGCCCTGGAACAAAAAATTTATATGTCTGAAATGGTTCCTAATTTCCCATCTGTTCAACAGGGGCAGGATTTTGCACCCCAAGACAAGGGACAGGCCCACTCTATCCACCGAGAAGCCCCTCAGGGTTTCCAGTTGGTTGGTGGAAATCAACCTCTGGGTCCCCAATCTCCTACACAAAGACCCACTTCTTTTCACAGGCTTGCTCCTGTTTGGAACCTCTACTGAGCTCCATGGCATTGTTTGGAACAGGCACACTGGTGGCTTCCCTGGTCTCAGGGATAACAGCTTCAGCAGCCATAGGCAAAGCTGGAGGGGCAGTCTCTGGCACCGTTCTAGCTGCCTCACAGGGTGAGTGCCCATGAAGGGCCAAGGGTGGGGAGTCAGGGGATAGTTATGGTGGGTGCAACATCCTGCCCACTGTCACACTTCCATCATGGCCTTATGTCTGAGAGAGCCTTGAGGGAGACAAAACTCTGGTATGGTCCTGGACTTTGAGTCCCTAAAATTCAGACCTACATGGTTGATGAGGTCCACCTCTGAGATTGCAGTTCCCGGGGGCTGAAGCTGGGCCCCATATTCTTTTCTCATGTCCATTGGATTCACCACCAGAGTTCACTTTTTTTCTGTTTCTTTTTGCTGTTTGTCCTTCTGGGTCCACAAGCCAGGGTGTCAATTTAAATAAATTCTTCACTTCAGTCCTTCATCCAGCCTGTGTAGGCCCCAACAGTTTTCTTTATTTATTCTCCTCACAGATATCTTCTCTTTCATTCGCAAATTTCAGCCTTTGGTGTCAACTTCTGTGAGTGTGTGTGTGTGTGTGTGTGTGTGTGTGTGTGTGTGTGTGTGTGTGTTTCTGCAGACAACTTTTATCATTTGCATGGCTCTTAGCTCACAATGGGCAACATTGGTCTGTTCCATGGCTCTTCTCACACTAAGAATGAGGCTCCTAAGAGTCCCCCAGTGTCCCTAGAACCACCTAGAAGATCTGAACTTGTAAATGCACACACAATCTCTCCCTGCAGCTAGTGCTCTTTTCCTTTCTGTCCCCAGGGCAGACACACTCAGGGGTTTCTCTAGACTCCACAGCAGGCATTTCATGGGGATATTCATGGACCTCTCCCTGAACTGTGACCTTCTTCCACTAGGGCTCAACCTGCTAGCCCAGACTGCCCTGGGCTCAGGAGCATCTGTGCTTGGATCTGCGTTGGGAGTACTGAAGGTTGGCACCATCCTATCGGGGTGCCCTGCCTCTGTCTTGGCTGTTTGCCCCACTGGAGGTAACTGGCCCTGCATATCAGATACTCCTCCTTCGGAGAAGTAAGACAAGCCACAGCTTGCTTGATTTTCTGCTTGTCAGAAATGCAGAGGGTTAGGGAATCCAGAAGAGAAAATATAAGATCAGTAGATTTTTTTTGAGTAATTTTAGTGCTTGCATTCAGGTCTCAATTGCTAGCCTATTACATGGGTAAGTTCCTTAAATTGTTCTAATGGCCTCAGAGGACGATAACATTGTTGCCTTCCATTTTGGAGATGGGGCTCACTCTATAGTCCAGGCTAGTTGAGGAGGCAGTGTGTATGTAGCACAGGATGATTGTTCTTAAGCTTGTGACCATATTTCTGCCAGATTCCTGAGTGCTGGAATTATTGGTGCAAGTCACATTCCTGTCAATATTATTCCTCATTGACGAGTGAGGACTATTGTTCCAAGGCCCTGGGCAGGAGGAATTGTAGGGCTTTATTTTCTGTTAGGAACAGTAGATAGAAAGGAAATTCAAAGGTGGGAGGAGGCACAGGCATGAAGATCTAAACAACCACCAAAAGGCTTGGCTCACTCTGTGGGCATCTGTTGAACCCTGCATTCTGGGACCCAGTCAGATAGCACCCCTTTATTTGAGAGGGCTGTCGATACATGGCCCAGACAGCCTGGTAACCACCTTCCCTGCTTGCCAGTACAAGTGAGCAGCAAATGCCTTCTAACCATGTTCTAGAGCCCCTGGCCACTCAGTACCTGCATATACAAGCCTGTCTCTACCCCCAGGCAACTGGAGAGCTGGCTAAGCTCTCTAGGTTACCTTTGAACTCTGGCACTACCAGCTTTAGAGTTTTCAATCCTGGCCCTTGTGGCTTCAGGGGACCAAGATCCTAGATGCTGCCTGGGGCTCAAAATGTTGTGAGCTGAGCCCATAAGTACCTAAAAACGGCTCAGCATGCTACCTCAACAGCTAGAGTAATGAGTTGTGTTAAGGAGGATCTGAGTAGGCTTCCTGGAGAAGAAAATAATGATGTGGAGCCTCAGTTCATCAAAGCATGTGTCTCAAGTAGTGTTCTGATAACATGTCTGTATCACCAGTGTTTAACCTGGCTGTAAGTAGACCCTTCCATGGAGCAGCTCTCTCTACCCTGGAGATTCAGTGCCTCCTGTGTGGCCAAGGAGAGTGTGTGATAACCCACACTGGCAAATACTGACCCTGCTTCTAATCAATTAGAAGCCCTATCCTGAAGGGAAGAACCCACCATGGTAGCTATCATGCTTTGAATGAGAATGGAACACAAAGGCTCATATATTGGACTGTTTGTTCCCTAGTTGGTGGAAGTGTTTTGGGAAGATTTCAGAGGTGTGGCCTTGTTGGAGGAGGTGTGTCACTCAGTGTAGGCTTTGAGGTTTCAAAAGCATCATGTGACTGCCTGTCTGCTGCTATGCTCCAGACCATGATAGAGGCTTAGCTGTGTATCAATCATAGTAGGAGTCCTAAATTATTATGGACTCTGCGGAGACTCTGCTTCAGGCAATCCTGACTGACCCTGCCAACTATGACACCCTCTGACCCCACAGTTTTCATCCCTTCTATTATTTTCATCCTTTCTTTTTTCCCCAGGAGCCGCAGGACTCTCTATGTCATCAAAATTCCTCGTGGGCTCTGCAGGATCTGCTCTGGTGACCTCTGTGATGTGCATCTGAGACTTGTAGCCCTTCTCTGCCCAGAGAAGGGGACATGGAAGCAGAGGTGACCGGTCCCAGTTTGTCCAATCCCAGAGAGGGATCATTTAACCCCCGTGGACAATCTGCCAATGCCAAATGCCTAATTGGAAATAAGAAATAAAATCAATTGCTGCTGCCTGCCTTATCATTCTCTTCACATCATGTGCTGTTTGTGTTGGAAAGGTTGAACAGGGACCTCTCTGCAGCCTGGGCATGGGGGGGTTAGGCTCACCTCTCTCCCCCACCATCTTGTCACAGAGACACATGGTGCAGGTGAGTGCTCAAGTGGAATGAATGTAAATGTGAAAACAGAAACTGCCCATTGCCCTGCTCCTGATCCCTTAACTCTGAGCAGGTCACCTTCTCATTGGGTCCTCCCTAAGTGAGGAGTTGACCTAAAGGACTTCCCAGATCTCAGCCAGGCGGGCCTTGGCTCAGTCCCTAAGAGGAGTTTTAGCATGGCATCCCGCTTTGAGCCACTTATCTCAAAGCCAGAGCCTGGTTTCTATTTGTACCACCTCCGCAGTATACATCCAGTGATTATTTCTGGTGACCTGCCCTCAAAACTTCTGTTTGGAAACTCCAAACCTCTACCTATTCTTTCAGTCCTGCAGCTCCACTAGAGGAAATTATTTTCTCTCTTTGTATGCCCAGCCCAGCCCTTGCCCATGCTTGGAAGTGGAAAACAGTTCACTGATTACCTCGGGCAGATGGAAGTGGTGGTGTCTTCTACCTTGGGCCCTCCTCCCCTCCACACAGGCAGAGTGGTTCTAGCTATGGAGCCTCCAGGAGGAATTTCCCTGGGGGCAGAGACAGACCTCATCCTCCCTCCAAGGGAGGCACATCCCGCCCAGTGACCCAAAGGTTCCCCTCTCCCCTTTCATAATTCATGTCTCCTTCACAAGCAGTGACCTGTATAATGGAAGAATCAAAACCCACCATTCCCTGAGAATCCTCAGGCCCTCATTAGTCTCCTAGAGAGATTTTTATATCCACCAGCTGACCTGGGATGACAGGCAACAGCTCCTGGACACCCTCTTCATGGCTGAAGGGATGGACAGATCAGGCTTGGGCCTGGCAGAGGATCACTGACACCCAGTGAAGCCCCCAGAGAGTGGGTTTTCTCTCTGCCTGACTGACTGGGACTCCAACACTGACCAAGGTATGGAGGCTCTGAAAAATTGTTCTCAGGTCCTTTTCCAAAGATCAACAGCAGCTGCTAGAAAAATTCCCAATGTGTCTAAGGTGAGAGAGGTATTCCACGAGTCCCAGGAATCACCGACTGGGTTCCCAGAGCACTTCTGTGACTGTCACCTGAGGTTCACTGTCACAGATCCAGAGGAGCCAGAAAGGCAGGGAGCAACCAGTACTGCTTTTCTCATGCAGTCAGCCCCAGGTAGTAGAAAGAAACTTCCAAAGTCAGAAGGGTTTGCAGATACAAATGGGTCTCAATTATTGGAGCCTGCTCAAAAGGTTAACAGTAACTATGACCATATGGGAAAAAGTGCAAAACAAGAGATTGACCTGGGAAGTCCTGGCAGTACTCAGAGAGACCTATAAAAGAGATCCCAGAGGGAGATATCAGAGATACCAGGAAAGGAAGAGGGGACAAGGACATCCTGTTCTATGTAAATGACTTCAAAGGGGAGTGTGTCCTAGCTCAGGAATTGGGATCCTGGTAGAGGCCATTGACCTCTCTGTCCAACAGACTTGGTCCTGTTTCTGTTGGTTGGCCACTACAGCTATGCTAATCATGAATCTGACACCCAGACTTTGGCCAGGACCTAATTCCTAACATCACATAATCTGTTGAGGCCTTCTTGAGGGGGGACCCCAGACAGGTGGGTATCCAATGCTGGAATGATGCCTTATCAGTCACTTCTCCAGGACCAGCCCCACACCTGTTTCTGTAAGACAGCCTGCTGCCAGACAATAACCCAACAGAGGCTCCCCTTGATTGCCTGGAAGTGACTGATGCAGACCAAGCCATCAGACCGGACCTAACAGATGCCCTCACACAATCCTATCTCCCTCTGTGTGCTCCCCGGATAGACTTCTGCAGCCTTTCCATGTCTCAGTTTTCCAGATCTTTTCATAAGTTCAGAATCCTGCCTCTGTGTTCTGTAAATGTGCCTGGTACCTGTCTCCGCAGTGAACAGTGTCCAGTGTCATAATTGTTTCATAAATGCCAGGATCCTCCTGCCTCAAAATGAGTGTGGACTCTGTCCAGCACTGCATTATGCACCAATCACATGGGCGATGAATACCAGCCTTGGGTGAGGGTGTGGTCAGGGTCCCAGGACATAAGGCAAGGATTTCAGCCTCCCTTTCAATTTTATGGATGCTGTATGGTGCTGACTATTTTGATGCTGTCTCTCTCCCCAGGTACCAGTGCATTAGCTTAGCCCAGTGCATTCCCTGGTGGTTCATGTCAGCCTTTCAGCAGTACCTTGGGTTAGGTATGTGCTGCTCACAGCCCTGGACATCCAGAACCATTGATGAGGAAGGACCACGAGCTCTGGGGTCAATGTTCTTGGCTACCTCTCATGTTTCCTCTGGACAGGAATCTCTGTCAACCCAACCTTTAATAAGGAACAACTGTGGTCCAGAAGGACTCAAAAAGCCCCCATGCCACACAGACCATCTCCATTACGGCAGGGACCATGCAATGCTTCTACCCTCTGTCTGAGTGTTGGACAACTGTCACCTCCTTTTGATCTCCAGCCTCAGTCTGGTTGGGGAAATGGAAGACTTGAAATTCCCTGTCCACAACTCCCTTCAGAAAGCCACCAGAAGCAAAGATCTGCACACCAGCATGTAACCTTTATTTTTCATCTTTCAGTGGCTTCAATGGGAGGTTTGGAGGCTCATCTTGGGGTACACTGTCTCATGGATATTCCTTAAAGGCTTTGGGTTCAGCTGGTAAAGGTGTAGTCTCATTCGCTCATAGCTCCAACTGCTGCCCCAACTGTGCCCAGGATGATGTTGGTTGATGTAGAAAGTCCAACAGCCCCTGGGAAGGAGACAATACAGTGATAGTCAGTCTCCTAAGGCTTAGAGATGCCCCACCGCCCTTTTGTCTGAACTCTAGGGTTCTGCTTTAGACAATGATATTCAAAGTGTCGGACCAGAAGGAGAAGACCGATTTGGGTAAGCTGAGATATAGGACGGAGAGCTCTCCCGAGAGGAACACCCTCTCTACATTGCAGTACAGAGGGGAACACACTGGAGAAGGACACCCAGGTAGGGAAGATTCAGAGCCCAGGTAGCATGCATCTTGGACCAGGGCTCCTTCCTGCTTCTGCCATCCAGTGGCCCTCACCCCTGCACCAGTCCCCAACCTCACTCACAATGAACCAGACAGTAGGGACAGAAGGAGAAGACATAGGTCATATGAGAGGTTGGACTGTAGGGAGAGGAAGGGAGATGCCTTCCTTGGCTGGCTCTCCAGACATCTTGCCTGGACTGACACTTACCCACTGACTGTAGTGTGGCTACCAGGCTTCCTGCTGCAACTCCACCCCCATTGGCAATTGCTGCTGCTGACATCATCTTGGCTGCTATGGATGCTGCTGCTATTCCTGTGCCAGTGAAGCCCATGGCACCCAGGGCTAAGGGCGCAGCAGTCACAGCCACAACTGTGGGGAGAGGAGCTGGGTGGTGTGGGCTCAGGGGAAAGATTCACTCAAGAATTCTTTGACTGTTTGGGATGGCCTTCACTGCACCTCAGGCTTGTTTTTGCAATTAACTACTGCAGTTTTAGCAGCTGCTTCCCCTACCACCCCCCTTTAAGAAATTCTCTGCTTGCTCTTCATCGTATATAAGGCCTGGAGGAGAAACTAGGTGGAAAACTTACGCCCCCTACTGGAATGAGTGAACACAGCTCTGTTCCCTGCTCTTCACCCAGGCAGCTCCAGAATCCATCAGAAGGCAGGAACTGGGGTGCAGCCCACCGGGAAGCATGAAGCCCCCAAAGCCTCACAGCGGGTACGAGAAACTTACCTCCTCCTATGACGGCAGCGACAGCTTCTGCAAGGGAGAGATGGGGTGGGTAGACAAGGTTAGAGTTGGCTGACATCAGTGAGTTCTTGGCAGGTTTGGGTCAGGGAGGCCAGTTCCCAGCCCACGCCAGAACTGAGGACTACTAACCCATCTTGGTGAGATGTCTTGGTAGCTGGTAACCTTAGGAAGGGACTTAAATCTGAGGAGAGAAGGAGAGACTGTTGCTTTTGAACTAATAGGGACATGGCCCCGCCCCTTGCAATGAGTCAGTGTCCTGGTGGGTGTGGCGTTTTGAAAGCAACAGGGGAAGAAGGAACCCCCCTCTCCTCGTCTACTTACCTCTGAGTAAATGTCCGTTAGACTGGTTTCAAACCTGACTGATGCTTAACACACAACACACACACACACACACACACACACACACACACACACACACACCCCTCTGGTTTGTAATAGCCAGAACCTGGAAACAATCTAGATGCCCTTCAACTGAAGAATGGATAAATAAAATGTGGTACATATACACAATGGGGTACTACTCAGCAGAGAAAAACAATGACATCATAAGGTTTGCAGGCAAATGGATGGATCTAGAAAAAAATCATCCTGAGTGAGGTAACCCAGACTTAGAAAGACAAACATGGTATGTACTCATGGTATGGTAGGATACTAGATGTGGAACAAAGGATGACTAGACTGCTACTCACAACTCCAGGGAGGCTACCTAGTAAAGAGGACCCCAAGAAAGACACAGGGATTGCCCAACGACAGAGCAATGGATGAGATCTACATAAGCAAACTGGATGTGAGGGGGGTAATGAAGGGCAAGGGTCAGGGGAAAGAGAGCTTAGGGGAGCGGGAGATCCCAGCTGGATCAAGAACAGAGAGGAAGAACAAGGAAAGAGATACCATGATAAATGAAGCCTTACACATTACATCTTATCTCCAACCCACAGCAGTCAGAGTAGCTTTACAGGGATGGGGAAGGTGGGAAGCAGTGTGTGAGGGTCAGGGGCGATGTCACTGAGGCCGTTATTTTGGAGACCAATTTTGCCCTTCTGATCAGATGGCCAGCCACAGTCTGAGACTTGCGATGTCCAATGTATGTGCCTCTCTCCTTATTATCCCTCATATTCTTGCCCCATTCCATGGATGTTTGGGCTCAGACTTTGAAATGCAAAGTTCACTAGTGTCTTGGAATGTCAACTTTGTGCTCCTCAAAGGGCATAGGGGCTTGGAGAGGTTAACATAAGACAAATAAGCCACTGACAGTGTGTACATGTCAAGCTAGTAGCAAAACATTCATATTTTATAAGATGGAACACAAATGTGTTCTGTTTCTTTTTGTTTTTGTTTTGTTTGTTTGTTTTTGAGATTGGGTTTCTCTGTGTAGCACTGGCTGTCCAGGAACTTGTTCTCCATACTAGGCTGGCTTCGAACTCAGAAATCTACCCACCTTCGTCTTTCTAGTGCTGGGTTAAAGACATGCACCTCCATGCCTTGCTTCAAATGTGTTTTTCTAATACAAAATATTAAAGTGGTGGGTGAATGAAAAAAAAAGACATAACAAGAAAGGACATGACTGCTCCTAGGTATGGTGGAGGAGAGTTTATTACATAAAATGGTGAGAGTGTAGTCAGAGGTATGGACATCTGGGAGAATCCAGAGTGGTCATGACCAGGCTGAGCTGGGCCCCGTGGGGAGAGGGGGAGGGGAACCAGGTGCAGCAGCCAGAAGATCAAAGATACAAAAGGGGTGAGTAGCCAAAATGTCTGGATTATACATGGAAGAGCCTCTAGGGGAAGGGCAGCCCAGCCCCTGGACTGGAGAATTCATGTAGAGGGCGAGGTATGCTGGCCATACCCTGTAATGGGTAGGGACTGAAAGATCCTGGGAGAGCCTGGCTGCCAAGTCTGCTTTATATGCTAAGTAGCCACGACAGCTGTGTGTCTTGGGTATGAGACCTAATACTATACAACCTGTTGGTTGAAGATGAGCTGGAGGACAGACTTTCAGGATGCTGTCTTTTATGGTGTCAATAGCCTTTGGAAAACATCACAACATACACTGTAGGAACTGGTTTCTCTGCATTGTTGTTGAGGCTGAGAACTTCAGCCTTCCCCAGTGAGAAACTCTCAGCACTTAGAGATGAAGGAAAAACTTCAGGAGTGTGCATCTGTGGCCTGTAGCTATTGCTTACAAAGGCTCAGACCAGAACAGAAATGACTAGTGGTTTATAGAGGGTTAGACTTGTCATAACCTCAGGGTGTTTATAGAGGGTTAGACATTGTCACAACCTTAGGGTGTTTATAGAGGGTTAGACATTGTCAGAACCTTAGGGTGTTTATAGAGGGTTAGACATAGTCACAACCTTAGGGTGTTTGTAGAGGGTTAGACATTGTCATAATCTTAGGGTGTTCTTTTCACCTCCACCCCAAGGAGATTATCCCAGACTTAAGCAAACTTTACGGAAGCTGAGATATGCATGTTTCTGGTCAAGTCAGTTATATCTTTAACATACAGAATGTGCTGTCTAAGTGGATATTGGTGATGGTCACTTCTAAGAAAGAGAAGATGTGCACTTTTTAGAAAAACAGGAAGGGCTAGGCATGCTTACAAAGCAGTCAGCAGTTAGTTTTGCTGTGGGAGAGAGAGAGAGAGAGAGAGAGAGAGAGAGAGAGAGAGAGAGAGAGAGAGAGAGTTA